CCCTTATATATCAAACATACACACACACACATACACACACACACACACACACACACACACACCTCTATAGCTCTATACCTCTATAGCTAACAGGATAATAGCTAACAGGTTAATGCATGCTGGCAGTCAGAGGCTTTTGTTCATAACCTTACTAGTGATCCCTTCCCCTGACCCACATCTGTCTACTACCTCTCTCTCATCCACCCAGGGCCTGGCAGCTCTGACATCACAGGAAACAGAGTGAATTACATTTTACATTTACATTTACATTTTAGTCATTTAGCAGATGCTCTTTTCCAGAGTGACTTACAGTTAGTGAGTGCATAAATTTTTCATACTGGCCCCCCGTGGGAAACGAACCCACAACCCTGGCGTTGCAAGCGCCATGCTCTACCAACTGAGCTACAAGGGGCCTCAAAGATGGATTCCCTGGTCCTCTGTAGCTCAGCTGGTAGAGCACGGCGCTTGTAACGCCAAGGTAGTGGGTTCGATCCCCGGGACCACCCATACACAAAAAAAATAAAATGTATGCACGCATGACTGTAAGTCGCTTTGGATAAAAGCGTCTGCTAAATGGCAAATAAAAAATAAGTTACAGTACATTTTAGTCATTTAGCAGACGCTCTTATCCAGAGCGACATACAGTTAGTGAGTGCATAAATTTTTTCATACTGGCCCCCCGTGGGAAACGAACCCACAACCCTGGCGTTGCAAGCGCCATGCTCTACCAACTGAGCTATACGGGGCCAGAATTGATGTCTTAATCTAATGGACTATCAAATTTACCACAACAACCTACTCCCTTTTCATTCCTTCTTCAATCTTGTCTAAAATTTCAACTAAAACTTAAAGCAAGCTACACCTGAAATAGACAGAGGAAGTCCAAACTAAATGAAGCATACTTCAGTGTTTGACCCAGGTCTGGTATCTTGACCATGCTAGTGAATGTGCTGCGGGTGTGAAGGAATTTGGCCAGTGGGTTTAAAGTTTAACCCTGTTTGTGGACTGACTCGCTGACTGACTCCCAGCACCGCTCACCCATTAGTCCCACTAACTTTTGGCCTGCAAGTAATTATTTCTCTCTCTCTCACGCTCTCTCTCCATCTCTCTCTCTCCTTCTCTCTCACTTCTCTCTCCTTCTCCTCCTTTCTCCTCTCTCCTTCTCTCTCCTATCTCCTTCTCTCTCCTCTCTCCTCCACTCTCCTCTCTCCTTCTCTCTCTCCTCTCTCTCCTTTCCTTCTCTCTCTCCTTCTCTCCTCTTGCCTCTATCCTTCTCTCTCCTCCTCTCTCCTCTCTCTCTCCTCTATCCTTCTCTCTTTTCTCTCTCACTCCTCTCTCTTTCTCTCTCTCCTCTCTCACTCCTCTCTCTCTTCTCTCTCCTCTCTCCTTCTCTCTCTCCTCTCTCCTTATCTCTCCTTCTCTCTCCTCTCTCCTCTCCTTCTCTCTCTCCTCTCTCCTCTCTCCTTCTCTCTCCTCTCTCCTCTCTCTCCTCTCCTCTCTCCTTCTCTCTCCTCTCTCCTCCTCTCTCCTTCTCTCTCTCATTCTCTCTCCTTCTCTCCCTGTTTCTCTCCTCCTCTCTCCTCTCTCTCCTTCTCTCATTGTCTCTCTCATTCTCTCTCCTTCTCTCTCCTCATCTTTCTCTCCTTCTCTCTCCTCTCCTGTCTCCCTCTCTCCATTCTCTCTCTCCTCTCTCCTTCTCTCTCCTCCTCTCTCCTCCTCTCTCTCCTCTCTCTCATTCTCTCTCCTCTCTCCTTCTCTCTCTCCTTCTTTCTCCTCCTCTCTCCTCCTCTCTCGCTCTCCTCTCTCCTTCTCTCTCTCTTCTCTCATCACTTCTCTAATTCTGTATTCTATATTATCTCTTTCTATTCTGCTCTTTCCTCCGCTCCGCTCCCCTCCCCTCCCCTCCCCTCCTCTCCTCTCCTCTCCTCTCCTCTCCTCTCCTCTCCCTCTCCTCTCCCCTCCCCTCCCTCCCCTCTCCTCTCCTCTCCTCTCCTCTCCTCTCCTCTCCTCTCCTCTCCTCTCCTCTCCTCTCCTCTCCCCTCCCCTCCCCTCCTCTCCTCTCCTCTCCTCTCCTCTTTATTTATCTCCTTCCTTCTCTCATTCTCACTCTCTCCTTCTCTCATCGCCACGGAGCCTTTGACCTGTGTGGAATCTGCCTCAGAACAACATCCACCTCCTCCCTCCTCCCTCCTCCTCAAGACCGGCTGTAGGTTGTTGGGAAACATTTGGTGCATTTGTCATTTAAATCAATTCTCTCTGTATATTGTCAATAAGTGAATGTAGGACGAGGCAATATTGTGTATGTGTGTGCCTGTACGTGTGTGTGATTGTGTGTGTGTGTGTGATTTTGTGTGTGTGTGTGTGTGTGATTTTGTGCGTGTGGGTAAACTAGAGTTTTCTCCTTCACTTGGAGTGGTTTTAGTTGACTCATAATGATTTATTGTGAGATGGATAGATCTAGTCACACCAAACTCTCTTGTCAGTAATACTATAGTACTAAATAAATAGTTCAATTGAAGTCCAACATTACTATGATTTCTATCAACTAAATATTTTGTTCAACAAATAACAAATCAAACTGTTTTACATCCATCTATAGTCATATATTTATTTTATTTTTTGAACACATTAAATAGCATCAGACTGCTATCTGCAGACGAGAAAACACACATCCCCTCTTTAAAATAACATTGAATCATCATCTTCTAACAAGCTTTACGTTTTAAGACTAAGCATTACCATAACACCCTGAGTCAGACACAACAGTTTTGACAGCGGTGTCCATCTCCTTTTCCAATCTCCTGTTAAATCTCCATTTCCAATCTGTTGTTCAGTAGTTCCTGTGGATGTGGATGGAGCGGATGGCGAGGCAGTGGAGCGGGTTAGTTGAGGCCAGGCAGACAGAGGCCCTGGCTAACGGGTCTATGACATCTCAGAGTTAGACTAACTGGATTATCAGCCAGCCCAGCAGCCAGGAACCACTCCCCTCCATGGCCTTCACCTCTCCAGACCTTAGTCCCATAATCCCCCTCTTTACAGAGAGGCTAAAGCGCTAAATGACCTTAATTAGGTTGGTTGCTCTCCGTGATGGCCTTATCTGGGACCTGACATGATCAGGGCTTAGGCCAGGTCTCAAATGGCACCCTATTCCCTATATACTGCACTACTTAGAGCCATATGGTTCTAGTCAAAAGTAGTGCACTATATAGGGAATAGGGTGCCATTTGGGACAAACATTTGGTTATAAAGCCCTTTAGGGCATTGAATGTAGGCTACATCCTACTAAACCCGACAAAGCAACTTGTTGTTGTATGCTGCCCTGTATTTGATAAGGAAGTGGTGAGACTCATTTGTGACTATTATAACGGCGGCCATTGTGTGTCTGAACAGACACGTGTGTGTGATTGTGTCGTGTGTGGAGTTGCCCAGGTCACCTTATCTGTCTGAGCTCAGTGATGATTGGATCGTTTGGCTGTTGGTGATGTGGATTGTTGGGTGTCATTACATGAGTGCGTGAGAGCAAAAAGCGGATGTGATAGGTTGTTTTAATCGACGTCAGAGAAAATCTCTTACCCCTCCATAGTGCCCTGGCAGGCTGCGTCATCATAACACTAGTCAGAGTAGTGTAGCCTGCCAGGGCAGAGAAGAAGAACAGAGAGGGTGCAGGGAGAGAGAGAAAGAAGAATAGAGGGGTGAGCTCATGCCTCTGAGAAAGAAAGGAGTGGGGCACAGCCGGTGATCTCTTTATACGGTTTGGCAGGATAATTTATTTAAATGAGATACGGATGCAGAGATTAAATGAGGTGACCTTAAGGGTCGTTGCCCTCTGTGTGTATGAGCGAGTGATTGACAGCCTCTGTCATTGTCTAATAATGGCAGGGGGACTTTTTCCCAGGCATCTACAGATCCCCTGATTCCCTATCCTCAATCTGTTCACAGATCATTTTTGTACATGGTGGTGGTGTGGAACATTTTTGATATCTCCCTTATGCAAAGCAAACACACTTCATATCCACATTTCCTGCATTAGATCATTACACCAGGATTACATTACACTTGTCCTTTTCCAAATAGATCCAATGAGTCTTTCAGTAGCATGATTTCATTCCAAACCAATGAGATAAGATTCATTCAATAATTCAAAACAGTAATTTTGAAACACATTCCAGTAATGAAAATACATGATCAGAGATAGAATGCTGATCACCTCGACCCTATCATACAGCAGCTGAATCCTGAGACTGAAGAGGAATCACACATTGCTATCATGACATAAGCCACGTGATGGTTACTGTAACAACGCTATAGACATGGGTGATTGCATCAATTCCTCCTCTCTTTCCCCTTCTCGTGGCATCTTTTGCCAGGAAAGCGGAGTCAACCAGAGGTTGAGAGAGAGAGGTTGAGAGAGAGAGGTTGAGAGAGAGAGAGAGAGAGAGAGAGAGAGAGAGAGAGAGAGAGAGAGAGAGAGAGAGAGAGAGAGAGAGAGAGAGAGAGAGAGAGAGAGAGAAAATAACCAGGGAGAGGGGAGCTGGGTAGCAGACCCACCCTGATGACCCCTGCTACCACAGAGGGCAAGAGTCAGGGTGGCAGGGGCTCACCTCCTAGTCTGGCCCCCTGAACCTTCCATTCAGAGGTTGACACAACAGCCAGGCACCGCTGTGACCCGGTGGGTGTGACACTCAACCTTTGCCTTAACCTCCTGACTGCTAGTCGCAGCTGGCCGGTCGCCTCAGACAGGGCAGAGGGAGAGAGATGAAGGAAGAGAGGGAGAGGAGAGAAAGAGAGAGTGAATGAGATAGAGGGGGGGGTGGAGGAGCTATAAACTGGAGGAAGAGAGGGAGAGAAAGGAAGAAGGGGGAAGAGCTTGGACACATCAGACCTGATCACCTCTCCACTGTCAGATCAGAGTGGCAGGGCCACGCTTTTTAGAGTCAGGCTGTGTGGGTAAATAACCCATGACCTCAGGGTCAAATCCTGACCAGGCTCAGAGCTGCTGCTTACAGCTCTCTGGATCTGAGCATGTGGATAATGCTGCCATTTTCTTGAATGAAGACAGCAGCAACATCTATGGCCAGATTGGAGGCAGGGCTGGCTAGAGTAGTTGCCTCTAATCACAGATCAAGGATCAGATTATTTGATCTTCATTCCTTACATAGCCTCGTACTACCATCCTGATTTCGCGAGTTTACATAAAATAGGTTTTACTACATATTTAAGTAAGCTCGCGAGATCAGGATGGTAGTATGAGGCTAATCCTAACCCTCAAATCCCAACTCCATCCTAACCATTTGGAGGATAATATCTGACCCTGGACCAGAAGTTAGGACCAATGTCCCCAGAAGCTGATCTCAGCTCAGTCAGAGTACAGTCTCCTCCCTCCTGCAGTCCATGGCCTCCAGCGTGGCCTTCAGGGCTCCGATCTGGGTCATGTGACGATCTGACATGGCTGACACCTGACACTCCAGCCTCCACAGCTGCTCCCTGTACTTCCTGCGAGCCTTCCGGTATGACCCTGTGGCCTTGCTGCAAAACAGAGACAGATCGCTGTCAGAGCCACTCACTAAGTTTATTCATTGATTGAATTGATTGGATAATTAAAAATTGCAGGATGCTCTAGCCGGAGACAAGATTATAAAACAGAGAAAGATCGCTGTCAGAGCCACTCCTGCTCTAATCTCTCTCTCTCTCCTCTCTAACATCTGATTCTACTTATCAGCTGCACATCAAGACCTTGAATATCTGAATCAGGTGTTTTAGTGTAGGGCTGGAGCAAAACCCTGCACTATCACTCTCTGTATGTGAAAGGTACTACTGAGATTGAACTGGAAGTGGTCATAGAGGTAGGTAGAGGACAGGAAGTGGTCATATAAGTAGGAAGTGTGTTTCCTGGTTACCCGTGCGCTTGTGCGAGCCGAGCCATCTGTTCATCATTGTCTCTCCTGCGAGAGGCGCTGTCGGAGAGAACCAAGTCCAGAGACTCCCTCACCGTCGACACCCTCCTCTTCAGCACCTGCTCCCTGGGGGACCCCGACACCAAAACCACAACACAGGGGTGAGTTTACTGTTCCACAAAGCTTCGTAGTGGGTGTGGTACTTCATTTCTCTCAACATATGACGACCCAGCCCCATTACTGCAAGTAAGGCAGGGTGTATTTTTTAAGTCAAGTATTTGAACAAAGCCTGAGGCAGAACAAAACACACTATCATTCCTCCCACACCCAACTTCAAGGATCCTCAGTGCTGATCTGGAAGGTATACACCCTCCCAGCAGACAGCCCCAGCAGACAGCCCCAGCAGACAGCCCCAGCAGACAGCCCCAGCAGACAGCCCCAGCAGACAGCCCCAGCAGACAGCCCCAGCAGACAACCCCAGCAGACAGCCAGTAACAATGTACATCCTCAGTCTGCATTTCTCCTGATAGCGTTCCTAAGCAACAGTCTAACACCAGGCAACAGATGCCCTGAGAGGAGGCCTGTATGGACTGAGGTGATTCTGATCAGCCGAATACCTCTTTGTAAGTACACACACACAAACACACACACACACACACACACACACACACACACACACACACACACCTTCACTCATAAACTCTCACACACACATTACAGAAGACCTTTGGTACATGCTCAATGTAAGTAATGCTAGTACCCCATGACGACAAACAGGCCTTTAGGGTACAGTCAGTTGAGGATTTATTTTCTCATTATACGTTCTATATTGAATGTAAAGAACCAAAACGATATGTCTACAAACAGATAGGCCTCCAGGCAAGTGTGGGAGATGGGGGAGAGACAGCTAGTTTGGTTCCCTGAACCCATTTCTGGGAATTGTGTTCCTCAAAGTTCTATGTGTCCTCAGTGTTCTGAGAATGTCCCTTAAAGAACATTCCAGAGCAGTAACATTTGGTGAATGTTACTTTGACCTTGATTCATGGAGCAATTTTCTTTGACATTGTTTGAAGATTTCTGGAACTTCACACTTGACTACAAAGTAGTGTCATCTTAAAATGTTATCCCGTAACCTGGAAACCATATGAAAATATTCCCTTGTGTTTTTTAAGTGTTTCTGACCGTTGCAGGACGACCTGTAGCTCTCGAAGGATGGTGCGGTTCTGAGGCCCAGGGATATTTAGCTTGTCCTTGTTGTCAGCAGTCCTCTGGAACACACAACAGGCACACAGATGACAGGTAATTAGATCCTCATTAGCTCCTAGCGTGCTAAGCTTTATATCCCTCTGATGCAATATGGTGTCATAAGTCGTCTACAATAACAGCGACAGAAACACGTCAGGCCAGGGCCTGTGTCATTGAACTCATGAGTTCAGTTAAAGTTAAAGAAGCGATTAAGGGTGAAATTCACAGAGCAGGGCTTGAACCTGCTACATTACAGACGCAAAGCATTGGTAAGATGTAGTGATCCAACAGTAGGCAGGGAGGGAGGGAGGGAGGGAGGGAGGGGCGCTACCCGTCTATTAGTTATAGTTTTTTGGTACTTTGGTTGTTGTTTAAACAATAGAAAACATACACATGTAAACAGCATACAGACGCACACCATCATCCACAACATCACACCTGCCCAGACCCACCTGCTCACACCCCCATCTCCAGCGCCTGCATCTCTCTGCCAAATGGCCTCAAACTGCACAGTTGTGTTTCTCTCTGTCGCCCACGCACTTTCAACATTTAGATAATAAAGCGTTTGACCTTTCCATTGTGTTTTAACGACGGAGGATTTGTTTGATTTCCAGTTTTTAAGTATACGTGTTTTCAAGATGACTGACGAGAAATGTTGATTTTAAATCATTACTGTGTGTCTAATAAATATATTTTTTAATCATGTATTTCCATGAGCCTCCGATTGAAATGCTCAGTCTGATTCTGTGGGTGTTGGTACATTTTCACAACTCTTAGTACAAAACTCAAAACAGATCATCAAAAAGGTGGTTGTTTCAACACACACAATCATAAAGTCACTTTTTAACCAAACCTAATCAGTGTTTCATCTAAAAATACACATTTCACATTGCAAGACATGTTCATATAAAGTAATTGCCTTTTGCAATGCTCACATTACTTTTTATATAATTGTCTTCTCATTTGTTAAAATGCATTTTACTATTACTTAATCCAACTGCGCTTAATGAATAATTTAAGCCTATAGATTTTAAACTGGTTTGTCTACTACGGATTTTGAGAACTACATAATATGTATGTTTGTAAAGTATATGTTTGTGTAAAGTATGAACAAATAAAAGTATGATATATACTGTAATGTGCTATTATGATGATGACTATTATGATATTGACAAGATCAGAGATGTACTGTGTGTTACAAATGCATGCCCTGTGCAGTAAACAGGTATCCAAAACGATAGGGGGTTTCACACTGCTTTACTAAAATTGCATTGGCCAATACTGTACTGTAATACCATAATATATGCCATTTACATAGCAGACGTCACACTTTATCCAAAGTGACAACAGTGAGTCCATACATTTTCATATTTGACCCCAGAGGGAATCGAACCCACAACTCCGGTGTTTCTAGTATTCCATGCTCTTACGAACTGAGCCACACAGGTCAACTACAATATAGAAGTACAATACAATACTGTAAAATACAAATATATGATTACAATACATGTGGAAGGAGTATGATTGCCATCCCCATGAGCGTGCCACCCTCCTTCAGGCCATGGATGAGGCATGCGATGACATCAATTCAGACCAATGTCAGGCTTGGATTCGCCATGCCGAAAGGTTTTTCCCCAGCTGCATGAACAATGAGGACATTTACTGCGATATCGATGAGAACCTATGGCCAAATGCTCAAGACAGGCTTGATGCAAATCAGTGCCTGCTAAATGTTATGTTTCTTTCTTTCATTAATTTCATTTAATTACATCTATGTTGTAATGGTATCGGAACAATACATTTACCTTCCACATCAATGATTGTGAAAAATGTATTCAATTGTCACACCTTTGATCACACATGGCATAGAAATTATGGAAATTCGATTTTCAGTTCATTTTGGTAGGTAGTGCCTAATGTACTGTCATTTACAGTACTGTAGCATATTACATTCAAAAGACAATTTTGAAACATGTACTGTATCTTGCATTTTTTGCTATTGGATTAACTGGTTGTTAAAACAACTAAATTGAGAAGATATCACTGTTGTGTTTTGGTGATTTACATCAATGTTCTCATGGTATTTTACAGTAAACGTATATTTTGGATCAGTGGTTGTATGGTGAAAGATGTCTCCAAACAAAATGAATGCACAATAAAAGGTTTTGAATATCAGACCTGCTGCATTACAAGTATTACCAGCCTGGTCTCATAGACTAGACGTAACATAGTAAATGTGAATCCGGGGGACTGAATTAGTATGATATGTTACGTTTGGTATGGTTACATAAGACGGATGGTTACTTAAGTAGGGTGGTTGGTCAGGGTGGATGAGTGGGCGTATAACACGAACCCAACGGTTGCGAGTTCAACTCTCATCATGGACAACTTTATCATTTTTGCTAATTAGTTACTTTTCAACTACTTTCTACTTTTTAGCTACTTTGCAACTACTTAGCATGTTAGCTAACCTAGATAGAATTTGTAAAATATAATACGTTTCTCAAATTCGTAACATATTGTATGTTTTGCAAATTCGTAACATATAATACAAATTGTAATTCATAAAATAAAATATCATAAAATATCACATCCACAAATTAATATATACCATACAAAACGTAACACATCATACTAAATGGAGTGTCTCGGATTTACATACAGAATAATACAAAATGCTCTGAGACCAGGTTGGTATTACCAGTTTGGAGTTTTGTACTAAGAGTTTTGAAAATTCACCACATACTTGTGAAAATAACACCAAAGTAATTGAAAAAAACGTAAAGTATATTTACATACACAGCGCTGATTGGTGGATAGGATTGTCTAGACTCTAGAGCTAGACTCCGCCTACCCATTCAAAGTAGGAGGACAAATAAAAGATGACTGGTCATTGATCAGAATAATCCGATCAGATTGTGATGTCATGCTGTCGGCCACCTGAACAGGCTGAAATCTAGGCACAAAAAACAACCTCTTACACTAAATGGGCATTATCATCATTTAAAAAATCTCAGAGTGATATTTCGACTTCATAGTGTGGAAATACCATTAAAAAAACACGAAATCACGTTTTTTGACCGCACTGCCTCCTTAAGGTTAAGGTAAGGGTTAGGTTAAGGTAACGGTTAGGTTAGGGTTAGGGTTAGGGTTAGGTTAGGGTTAGGGTTTCTACCTGCTGTTCTGTCCTGTCCTCTATGTCCTCAGTGAGGCTCTCAGGTGGTTAGGTTAAGGTTAGGTTAGGGTTAGGTAAGGGTTAGGTTAAGGTTAAGGTAAGGGTTAGGTGAGGGTAAGTGTTAGGTTATGGTTAGGGTTAGGTTAGGGTTAGGGTTGCTACCTGCTGTTCTGTCCTCCTGTCTTCTATCTCCTCAGCGAGGCTCTCAGAGATCAGGGCTCCGGCTGCATCCTGCGCCTTCTGAGCCATCAGACTCCAGTCCAGACACCTCCGCTCCTTCTCCGTCAGACGGATAAGACCTCGCAGCTCCGACATCTCCTCCTGGAAAATAGATAATCAATATTCCATTCAGCAGATGCTTTTATCCAAAGCGTCTTACAGTCATGCATGCATACATGTTTTACCTATGGGTGGTCCTGGGGAATAGAACCCACTATCGTGACATCGCAAGCGCCATTCTGTACCAACTGAGCTACAGAGGTTCACAGAGATAAGATATGACCATATCGTCTAGCTCAGACATTTCCTGAAGAACACATTAGTAGTTAGTGATGGATTTGTTTTGGGTCGAGACAAAAAAAAAAGTGTGTCGAGACTATAAATATTGGTTTCGCTTTTTGGTGCATCAGAGGAAGCTTCCAGATGGCTCACAGCATAGAAAAGGGACAATGACGATGTAGATCAGTCTGTCCAGAAATATCTGTCCGGAAATACCTGCCTGGAAATATCTGTCTGGAAATATCTGTCCGGAAATATCTGTCCGGAAATATCTGTCCGGACATATCTGTCTGGAAATATCTGCCTCTATAAAAGGTTTGGCCTCTTCTGGCTATATGCAAATGAGGATGAATTTAGCAGCCTTCTGAATTTAAACAACTCAATTATTCTTTTGAAATAATTATTCTGATTCCTCACCGTGTTTCTGGGCTAATCTCATTACACTATGATTATTATGTAGATATCTTCAGCTCTGGATCTTACAGTCTACTGTGTAGTTGCTTATTGAACAAAAAAAAAGACAATCGTTGTATCTCTCTTTGGTCAAAACTATACACATGTATCATGTATTCAGCAAAGGTATAGTTATACTGTTGGGCAATCAAAGACAGAATAGTGTGTCCATGACTCTACTATTCAGATTCATATTTCATGAATTGAATGTAAAGCCGACACAGTACAGTAGAGGGTATTGTACAGTATATATCACCCACCCTGACAGTGACCAGTTCATAGAGCAGAACAGCCTTCTCTCTGTTGGTGCTCTGTGGGTTGGAGGTGTCCTGGCCCCCCTGTCCTCCGCGGCTCCCTCTTGGCCCACCCAGGGTGCCTGTATCTGGGCTGAGATTCCCCTCTCCCCCAGGCCCTGGCTTAGGGACACACACTGCTGCCCTGTCCTGCTTCAACCGCTCGATACGCTCCCGAATGTCCGCCTCGCACCCCTCTACCTCGGACCCCCTGTGGTGGAGAGTGGGGTGTGTTATCAGACAATGTTTTGATGTTGTTTCAGTTCTAAATGTTTGTCAATGTTAATGCATGAAGCCAAAGGGAGATTTCCACATGGTGTGGACAATAACCGTTTTTCACTTATATTCAGAAGATGCTATTTGATCATCCACAGACAGCCTTTTTTGTAGAGACGCACGCAGTATAATAGCGATGGAACCTGGTCTGGATGTGCGTTTCTGTCTCCACAGCGCCCCCTGGTGTTGAGAAGGAGGTGGACAACTCCTCAGTTCTTAGACTCCAGAGGGACGGCCTGTTGGGCAGCTGACTCTCCATGACTGGGCCTGGGAAGATGAATGAATTGCTGTGAGTGTGTGTATGTGTGTGTGTGTGTGTGTGTGTGTGTGTGTGTGTGTGTGTGTGTGTGTGTGTGTGTGTGTGTGTGTGTGTGTGTGTGTGTGTGTGTGTGCGTGCGTGCATGTGTGTGTGCAAACTGTGAGTGTGTTTGTGTGTTTTCCATAAAGAGTAATTGAGGCATGTGTGTGTGACGTGCATTTGTGAGTGTGTGACGTGGGTGTGTGTTAGCCACCTGCTATCTGTCTCCAGTGTGGTATGACCTGCTGTTTCCTGCCCTCGTACAGCGACAGTAACTCACTGTAGGCCTCCTCACACTCCTCGCTGTCAATCAAGCAGAGAAAACGTTTCATCAGTATACATAGCAGCAGTAACATACTCTCAAAGCTCATAGTCATAGAGGAAAAGGTCTCACCATGGAATGTACGTTGAAGTCGGAAGTTTACATACACTTAGGTTGGAGTCTTTAAAACTCGTTTTTCAACCACTGCACAAATGTAATGTTAACAAACTATAGTTTTGGCAAGTCGGTTAGGACATCTACTTTGTGCATGACACAAGTAATTTTTCCAACAATTGTTTACAGACAGATTATTTCACTTATAATTCACTGTATCACAATTCCAGTGGGTCAGAAGTTTACATACACTAAGTTGACTGTGCCTTTAAACAGCTTGGAAAATTCTAGAAAATGATGTAATAGCTTTAGAAGCTTCTGATATGCTAATTGACATCATTTGAGTCAATTGGAAGTGTGCCTGTGGATGTATTTCAAGGCCTACCTTCAAACTCAGTGCCTCTTTGCTTGACATCATGGGAAAATCAAAAGAAATCAGCCAAGACCTCAGAAAAAAAAGTGTAGACCTCCACAAGTCTGGTTCATCCTTGGGAGCAATTTCCAAACGCCTGAAGGTACCACGTTCATCTGTACAAACAATAGTACGCTAGTATAAACACCATGGGACCACGCAGCCGTCATACACAAGGAAGGAGACGCGTTCTGTCTCCTAGAGATGAATGTACTTTGGTGCGAAAAGTGCAAATCAATCCCAGAACAACAGCAAAGGACCTTGTGAAGATGCTGGAGGAAACAGGTACAAAAGTTTCTAAATCCACACTAAAACGAGTCCTATATCGACATAACCTGAAAGGCCGCTCAGCAAGGAAGAAGCCATTGCTCCAAAACCACAGCATCATGCTGTGGGGGTGCTTTGCTGCAGGAGCGACTGGTGCACTTCACAAGATAGATGGCATCATGAGGAAGGAAAATTATGTGGATATATTGAAGCAACATCTCAAGACATCAGTCAGGAAGTTAAAGCTTGGTCGCAAATGGGTCTTCCAAATGGACAATGACCCCAAGCATACTTCCAAAGTTGTGGCAAAATGGCTTAAGGACAACAAAGTCAAGGTATTGGAGTGGCCATCACAAAGCCCTGACCTCAATCCTATAGAAAATGTGTGGGCAGAACTGAAAAAGTGTGTGCGAGCAAGGAGGCCTACAAACCTGACTCAGTTACACCAGCTCTGTCAGGAGGAATGGGCCAAAATTCACCCAACTTATTGTTTATTGTGGGAAGCTTGTGGAAGGCTACCCGAAACGTTTGACCCAAGTTAAACAATTTAAAGGCAATGCTACCAAATACTAATTGAGTGTATGTAAACTTCTGACCCACTGGGAATGTGATGAAAGAAATAAAAGCTCTCTACTATTATTCTGACATTTCACATTCTTAAAATAAAGTGGTGATCCTAACTGACCTAAGACAGGGAATTAAATGTCAGGAATTGTGAAAAACTGAGTTTAAATGTATTTGGCTAAGGTGTATGTAAACTTCCGACTTCAACTGTATGTAAATTTAACACAAATGTAGGTTACAGTGCTACATAACCTCATCCTCAGGCTCAATTGCTACCACATATGTTCGAAAGAGAAAGAACCGGCTGGTGGACGAGATGAAGTGCTACAATGTAACGCACGACTCCAACCCCATCATTACGTTTGCTGACAACACGATGGTGGTAGGACTGATCACCAATGACGATGAGGCAGCCTATAGGGAGGAGGTCAGAGACCTGGAAGTGTGGTGCCAGGACAACAACCTCTCCCTCAACATCAGCAAGACAAAGGAGCTGATCGTGGACTACAGGAAACGTAGGGGCGAGCACGCCCCCATCCACATCCAATGGTGCTGTAGTGGAGCGGGTCGAGAGCTTCAAGTTCCTCGTGTCCACATAACTGAGAAATTAACATGGTCCACACATACATACACAGTTGTGAAAATGGCACGACAGCGCCTCTTCCCCCGCAGGAGGCGGAAAAGATTTGGCATGGGACCTCAGATCCTCAAAAACGTAGACAGCTGCACCATTGAGAGCATCTTGACTATCTGCATACCCACTTGGTACAACAACTGCAAGGCGCAACTGCAACGCGCGCAATTGGCCCAGCGTCGTCCAGGGTAGGGGAGGGAATGGCCGGCAGGGATGTAGCTCAGTTGATAGAGCATGGCGTTTGCAATGCCAGGGTTGTGGGTTCGATTCCCACAGGGGGTATGAAAAAAAATAACGTATGCAATAACTGTAAGTCGCTCTGGATAAGAGCGTCTGCTAAATGACTAAAATGTAATGTAAATGTAATGTAAAATGAGTACGGCCCAGTACATCACTGGGGCCGAGCTCCCTGCCATTCAGGACCTCTATATCAGGCGGTATCAGAGGAAGGCCCCAAACATTGTCTAAGACTCCAGCCACCCAAGCCATAGACTGTTCTCTTTGCTACCGCACGGCAAGCGCTACCAGGAACCAACAGGACCCTGAAAAGCCTCTACCCCCAAGCCATAAGACTGCTAAACAAGACTGCTAAATAAGCTAATGAAATGGCTACCCGGACTACATGCATTTACCCTTTTTTACACTAACTCTATTGCGCTGACTCTATACACACACACTGGACTCTACCCACACACTCACACATACTTACACTGATACCCCAACACACACACACGTACACACTACATACGCCCACACACACTTTCACACTCACCACATACGCTGATGGTACTGTCTATTATCTATCCTGTTGCCTAGTCACTTTACCCCTACCTATATGTACATATCTACCTCAATTACCTCGTAGCCCTGCACATCGACTCGGTTCTTCTACTTCCTGTATATAGCCATGTTATTTTCTACTTCCTGTATATAGTCATGTTATTTTCTACTTCCTGTATATAGCATGTTATTTTCTACTTCCTGTATATAGTCATGGTATTTTCTACTTCCTGTATATAGTCATGGTATTTTCTACTTCCTGTATATAGTCATGGTATTTTCTACTTCCTGTATATAGTCATGTTATTTTCTACTTCCTGTATATAGTCATGTTATTTTCTACTTGTATATAGTCATGGTATTTTTACTCGTTATTGTCACTATTTCTATTTAGATTTTTTTTATCTTTAACTCCGCATAGTTGGAAAAGGACCCGTAAGTAAGCATTTCGCTGTTCGTCTAGACCTGTTGTTTATGACGCATGTGACAAATAACATTTGATTATTATTATTATTATTATTATTATTATTATTATTATTATTATGTCAAACTACATTGTGAAGTTGTAGGCCTGTGGTGTGTGTGTGTGTGTGTGTGTGTGCGTGTGTGTGTGTTTGTGTGCATGTTGTGTGGGTGGGTGCGTGCGTGCGTGTGTGCGCGTGTGTACCAGTATTGGAGAGCCATCTGCAGGGCTGTGCTGTCAGCTTCCTGTCTGCTGAGCGTCATACTGATCTGCTCTGACTCTCCCTTTCTCCTGCCCAGAGCTGCAGTCAGATGCTCGTTCCGGGCCTTCAGCCTTTCTATGCACCTGTGGGGGATAGCGAGGGAGGTCAAGGCCACAACACACAACACACCACTTGGGAAATACTGGCCCACACTAGCAGAGCTGGGATCTATTCCATTTTGTAATTTTGTAATTTAACCCTCTCAGTTGTACGTACCTCTGTAGTCTCTCTGTCTCACCCTCCAGGCTGACGCTGGGGTTGGGGCTAGGACAGGGGCTGCCTGGTGGGACACTCCCAGGCCAGGGGGACGGTGATGGGGAGGCCAAGGAGGATATGTCCCCACCAGTGGAGAGGGACGGGAAGACCCCCATGGCGGTGGGTCTCCTGAGGAACAGAGGTGACCCGGGGATGGGAGGAGAGCCAAGGAATGAAGGGGAAACAGGGGAGGCCCAGCCAGGACTCAGAACCCCACCACTGGAGCTCCCTGAGGAGCTGTAGGGAGGAGAGAGGCTGTCTGACCGCCACGCCTTATGGAGACCCAGTAACTGGTACCAGACCCATAGACAGAGAGAGTTTAGCCATTCACCAGCAGACAGAAATAGTTTGACCATTGTGGTTTCAACCAAAGCATTATGATGCTAGATCAGAAAGATATAGTAAACTGCACAGTAATCGCTCTCCCTACCTCTCTGATTGGCTAGTAGGAGTTTCCACCAAATGGATTACACAAATCCTATTAGATCTAGGAATATTGAGATGTAGCCTGTTGTACATCCACCTACCCTCTCCTGTAGACTGTTCCTCTCAACCTCCATGTCTCCTACGGTGACCTTTGCCCCCTCCAGTTCTTCCTGTCTGCTCTGCAGGGTGCTGCGCAGGGCACAGTTCCGCTGGTGAAGTGCCAGGATGTCCTTCTGGTATTGCTGACGCTCCTCAGGGGGCAGACCAGACGGGTACGAGATCCCAAACTCTCTCTCCATCTCCTCTAAGACCTGAGGAGAGGTTTGAGGTCACACTTAACTTAATTAGATAGGCATGATTCCAGGGTAATTAGGTTTTGAGGCCCACATGGTAATTAGCCTACATAGGTCACTCAACTGGCAGTTACAGCACTGTAGCCTGTGTTAGAAAATATCCTGTTTAAATATAGTTCAAGTTGATAAAGCGTTATTCCAACTAGCTTGTTACATGGTAATAATAAATTATGTCACATCCCTCCTCACCTGTGTGACTTGTACCCAGCTGTCCCTGGCGGCTGTGAGGTGTTCCGTCTGTCTGTCCTGACCATAGGCAGTGTTAGAGACAGCCCAGGCCCTCCTGGTGTTGATGGAACCTTCCAGAGCAGACATGACCCCCTGGAGCTCTGACCACACCTCACCACTACCGTCTGCAGGACAACACAGAGCAGACATGACCCCCTGGAGCTCTGACCACACCTCACCACTACCCCCTGCAGGACAACACAGAGCACATACGCTATTATGGTCATCACTAAAGATCTGTACAACATATAGAAAGTCTATATATTCTATTCATTATAAATGTTGTGAACGGATGTGGTTAACGTACTGAATGTCCACTCTTTGTACTCAACTGCTAACATTTGGATATTGGTAATCCCGTCCCCAGGCAGCTCTGCAGTAACCTGGGGATGAGGTTAGGATATGGGGAAACTGCAGATTGTCCGAAGAAGAGAAAAGTATGAATGGTTTCTAGTGTTTCTAAATAAGCATTCAGAAGATCATGACCAAGAAACTAAAACACGTGGATTACCAAGAAAATGAAACCTCTGAAATAATAGAGGTTGTTCTTTTCTTTGGACACACAAATAGATTATGTTTGGCCTGGCAAAGTAGCCAAAACAACAACCATCATCCCTTCCTGCACAATGCCACAAAGCACGGCACAGCACACAGAGAGAGAGATGGATGTGTGGGTATTGTGACTTGTGAAGTCATGCCATGGAGCCAATGCCAACCTCTGTTGGTTACTGGTGCTTTAGACGCAGTGCCAGTGTGTTCCTCCGGGTTGCAGAGGGATGGAGGAGGGCTGGACATGGAGGCTGGAGCCGGAGCGAGGATGACTGGCTCCTGTGGTTTAAGGTCATTTGGATCACTGAAGAGGAAAGAAAGAAGTGGTAAATCGTTCTATGAACCAGCAGCTCAGGGCAAGTCTAGTGATATTTTAACGCTCCATGAAGGGTAAGTTCTCTCTCTCTTTCTCTCTCTCTCTCACAGACACACCTTGGTGCTTGTAATGCGCCCATTTTCCTGTTGAGTTCAGCAATGATGCTGAGTAGAGTTCCCACCTCGGCCTCACACTGGGCCAGCTCTGCCTGGGAGGGCTCAGAGTTCACCTCTGGGTCAGCGGCCATTGTGGTTACCAGGGTAACCGGGTTCATCTCCTCACCCTCTGACTGTGTGTCCAGGGTATCAGATCTCCCTCGTTTGAACTCCTGTGTGGAAATAATGGACATTTTTCGGACTCCTTTTGGTTTCATAAAATATTTTGGCCCTGTTTTATACCAGATTTACAGCAGGTAGAGTCAATTCATTGACCTTTGCTTTTTACTGTAAACAAAGACTTATGATTTGATATGACATTTCCATAGAGCTCTCCATTAAATGACCGACAGCTGCTGTGCTCATGACATGGAGGTTATTGTTGTTCTCTTTGGACAGCCATTGTTTTGAGAAGCGGAAGAGGAGGAAACAGAAGCATCCTGCAAAACCACTTCCTGCTCAGAAACAAGTGGCCCAAAAACACCAATAACTCATGACAAACTGAAAACAACATCACTCTTCACAACTACTTGCTTTAATTCTGATAGTGCATAAATGTACAAATCAACCTACTTTAACTGTTAAACACAGTTGTCTTTTAAGCAATGTATAAGGAACATTAGTGACTGTGGTACCTGAACAACACACAGTAAGCAGTGGACAGAAAGATGTGGAGGGTTAGGGGTGGAACCACAGATGATATCAAGCTCTCAAAGATACAATCATACAACCAGATAGATACACTTCAAAGTAATAAAAGAAGCTGGTTCCTGCATTATCTAACACACAACGTGTTCAATGAAAGGCATCAATGGTGTGAGTTAATTGCAAAATATGGGTTACTGTACCTGTACAGGTGACATCGCCTTCACAGTAAAAAAAAATATTACTGTTAGGAAGGCTGTTAGGAAGGCTGTTAGGAAGTCTACCCCTCAAATGTCTTCGTGCCAGCAGTCATCACCTTTGAACGTGTGCCATGCTTGGTTTGGTACGAGATCAAATTGACAACACACCAAGACAGACTGAAAAACAATGACGTTACCAAAGAGGACATGATAGACTTACCTCCATGGCTTCTGTGTCAGAAGTTCACTGTGATTCTCCTGCTTCTATCTGTTGTCCACTAACTGCCATTAAACACTTGAGAACTGAGCTAACCTCTGTGGCGCTGCTGCAGCCAGACACTGCTATCCCGTTGCCTGTTGTATTGTATAATTAGACCTTTCAACGGTTCCTCAGTTTCTCTCTGTTGTAAACTTCTGCCTGCCTGTGTGCTGTCTGCCTACCCTGCTCGACTGGCAGCACTTTTCCGTCCCCCCCTATCTCTCTCTCGCTCTCTCTCTCTCTCAGACACTCACCATTTCTCTCTCTCTTTCTATTTCTCTATTTCTATCTCTCATCCTCTTTCTATCTGTGTGAAGCCTCTGGTGTATTGGTATTCTAGTTTTAGGAGTTCAGTGGCAGCACTCTGTCTGTTCCAGCTCCATCTCAGCTCCAGGATATCACAATACCTAGATAAAGGCGTTTTGGCATCTTGTAGCAATTGGGGGGAAAAAGTCAGATAGTGATCCCAACCCAGCCCTTGTTCTCTCTCTCATTTGATCTCTTCCTGTTTGTCTCTGATTTTATACTGTGTTTTTATCTCAGTTGAGATGCCCACTTTCAGAAGCTAAGCATTTGAGTGGCGATATGGTTGGTAATCCTTCTTAATGCGCTTCCAAGTCCACTTCATGTTTATGATGAACTAATAAACTTCAAAATGCATTATTAATTATTTGAATTGTGTCATCATATAAAGGGGAAGTTACTTGTTTGTTGAAAATAAGTGGACCCGTTGACATACAATTAGAAACAATGTATTTGATTACATAAAGTATTATACGATTTTACAGGACAATTTCATATTTGGACTACAATAACCACAATTCCCCACTACCGGAATTCCTGATTTACTTACTTCCGGTCAGGAAGATGGCCGTACACAACAAATAGTTAGCGGAAATATTAACTATATTTAATTAGTTTTCTTCGTTTTATAGACGTATAACCGAGGTATTTGCTGGAAAACACGTACGTTGGCGTTTTAAATCTAGCTATGTTTATGCATTATCTCACGACGTATAGTTTAGTTTCGATGCTGAGATTGCTAACGTTAGCTAGCCAGCCAGCCGCCTGAGCCGGTGTCTTGATTGTCTTCATTTACAGTGCTAGTTACAGTAGTTAGCTAGCTGGTTTGCTAGCTATGGATTCATCTTGATAACATCCTCTGTATGTATTCAATATGCAACCTCTCGCGCTGTTTTTGAGATTTGGCTCACATTTTGCCCTGTCCGGAAACGGTTGTACAGTAAAAAGGGAACTGCTATTTGATTCACAGTTGCTGTCGAGAGGCTGGTTGCTTCGTCACTGATTGCCTACACCTGGCATCTTTTGGATTTCGGGAGGGGTTAATTTGGCCAATAGACAGCCGATAGTATTTCTGAGGAAGGGGTGTGGATTTGTCTGACTAGGGATCCGCCCTGGTTCCGCCACTCGCACTAGGGCTACACCTCTCCCCCCAGCAGTAGCAGGCCGGCCAATGCATCACACAGATGGATGTCTAAACGGGTTACTTGGGACGTCCCAACTCTGACGTCACCCCATTGAAGTTGACATTTAAAACTGTTAGGGTAGGGACATCTCAAGGAGCCCGGAGAGCACTAACCCACACCGATGCATCACACATATCATTAATTATGTCCATATTTTAAGCTTATCTGTTTCCATCAAATAACCTTTAAAATAAATGAATATCTAAAATATGTGATATGATTATATATCTCCGCAGCAACCAGGATCCATGGAAACGCCACAGCCCGGCCCAGCAGACGGAGAGGAGCGATCGGTGGAGCTGCGGCCCAGAACACGCTCCAACCCGGAGGGTGCAGAGGACCGGCGCAGCAGCACTGGTAGCCTAGGCAACAGCAACCCCAGCACCCAGCAGCCCGCAGTGGGCAGCCGAGTGGAGGGGGAGGGGGAGGCCTCAACCAGCGACAGTCCTCCTAGCTCCATCACCACCACAGTCTCTGCCACCACAGCCCAGGCTGTGGCCCCTATAGTGGCTGCTACAGTCAATGCCATAGTAGGCCTGGCCACCCCCACGCCAGTAGCCAAGGACAGGCCTAAACCCACCCAGGCTCCTCCCCCTCTGGCGCCCCCCATCCCTCCCACGGCAGAGTTCCAGCTACGAGCCCCCCGCGTCAACTGTCCAGAGAAAGTGGTGCGTGGTCCTGTACTGTTGATGACTAGAAACTGAATGAGATCAAAGGGATGTCATTGTGAGAGATATTGGGCTAATGCAGTTCACTCCCTGTGATTTAGGCTAGATGAAAAGACTTGCAGAGTGATTGGTTCAGACCAGGTTGTTATAAGATTGTAATCCTATTTTTTTTATTATGACAGATAATCTGTTTGGATCTCTCTGAAGAGATGTCATCGCAAAAGCTGGAGTCCTTCAATGGGTAAGCTCTACTTCTGGTATATCTCTTATCTGCTTGACGACAGGTGAAGTGACCACTCTCTAACGAGGACCAAAGATCTGAATCTTTTCCTCGCTCCCTTCAGATCCAAGACCAACGCTCTCAATATTTCCCAGAAAATGATTGAGATGTTTGTGAGAACGAAGCACAAGATTGACAAGCGCCATGAGTTTGCTCTGGTGGTTGTAAATGACGATGCCTTGTGGGTGAGTGTTGTTGGCCCATTCACTTTTAAGTACATTTATTTTTCCTGATGGCCACAACCAAACAGTTATTCTTACGCGGTTATCACACAGTACTGTATTCTCAATTTGAGTTGAATTCTATTCCTTCTTTTCCGTATGTGTGTGTGTGTCGCTCTCTCTTAGCTGTCAGGTTTCACTTCTGACCCCAGGGAGCTGTGCAGCTGTCTCTATGACCTGGACACCAATGTGTGTGAGACCTTCAGTATCCTTCCTGTCACTACAACAACAACACATTCAGCCTGTAGTGTAGTCTAGCGTGGTATTGTGAATGATTGAAACTGTTGGAACATCCTGGAAGTTCTCTCCTTAATATCCTTCACCAGATCTAGAGGATCTTCTTAGTGTTATGTAAGTTCCATATCTTCCTCCTTTAGTCACTTCTCTACTTTTCCCTTCCCGCTGTGGTTCTGACAGTTGTCCTGTATCCTCTGCTGTCCCTGTAGCCGTCAGAAGATAGAGCTTCCTCTGATGGACAACATCCAGACCATCCCCCCTCCGTTTGTAGTCAGGACTCTCCTCATCTACAGTAGACACGCTGGACAGCTGCAGTTCAACCCCTCAGACGCTGTCAATGTAAGGGACCATACTGCACCACCACTGTATCAACCTACAACTGTCTACTGCTAACTGTACTACTAGACCAATACTGGATCAATGACCTTATCAGCCATCTACTGCTCTGACTCTCCACTGAATACTGTTCTGTACAGCTGTGGCGGGTATTACGTGTCTATATCTGTGGTGAGACCTAGCTCTTTCAGTGTTTGTGGTATTATACCAGCGCTGTCTATTTGAACAGAGACACTAACTGTCCTTCTCTCATCCTGTAGAACATGCTGCAGTCTCCCTACTTCTTCTTTGATGTGGTTTACCTTCACAACGGGGCTGAGGAGCAGGGGAATGAGGCCAGCTGGAGGGTGAGTGGACGAGGAGAGGGAGGGATTAAAGGAGAACAACGGCACAGACATTCATCCAAGCTCTGAAATGTTACTATGTGAGAAAGTGATGCAGCTGAAAAAGAAGATTCCATCTTACGCAAGATAGTGGCACCCTACAGCTCATATACACTACATGACCACAAGTATGTGGGCACCTGCTCGTCGAACATCTCATTCCAAAATCATGGGCATTATTATGGAGTTGGTCCCCCCTTTGCTGCTATAACAGCCTCCACTCTTCTGGGACGGCTTTCCACTAGATGTTGGAACATTGCTGCGGGGACTTGGAGTGATTAGGCCTGGCTCGCAGTCAGCGTTCCAATTAATCCCCAAGGTGTTCGATGGGTTTGAGGTCAGGGCTCTGTGCAGGTCAGTCAAGTTCTTCCACACCGATCTCGACAAACCATTTCTGTATGGACCTCGCTTTGTGCACGGGGGCATTGTCACGTTGAAATAGGAAAGGGCCTTCCCCAAACTGTTGCCACAAAGTTGGAAGCACAGAATTGTCTAGAATGTAATTGTATGCCGTAGAGTTAATATTTCCCTTCACTAGAACTAAGGGACCTAGCCTGACCATTATTCCTCCTCCACCAAACTTTACAGTTGGCACTATGCATTGGGGCAGGTAGCGTTCTCCTGGCATCCACCAAACCCAGATTCGTCTGTTGAAGCGTGATTCATCACTCCAGAGAACGCGTTTCCACTGCTCCAGAGTCCAATGGTTGCGAGCTTTACACCACTCCAGCCGACGCGTGGCATTGCGCATGGTGATCTTAGCCTTGTGTGCGGCTGCTCGGCCATGGAAACCCATTAATTAAGCTCCCGACAAACTGTTCTTGTGCTGACGTTGCTTCCAGTGGCAGTTTGGAACTCGGTAGTGAGTGTTGCAACCGAGGACAGACGATTTTTCAGCACTCGTTGGTCCCGTTCTGTGAGCTTGTGTGGCCTACCACTTTGCGGCTGAGCCGTTGTTGCTCCTAGATGTTTCCACTTCACAATAACAGCACTTGAGTTGACCGGGGCAGCTCTAGCAGGGCAGAAATTTGACGAACTGACTAGTTGGAAAGGTGGCATCCTATGACGGTGCCACATTGAAAGTCACTGAGCTCCTCAGTAAGGTCATTCTACTGCCAATGTTGGTCATTGGAGATTTCATGGCTGTGTGCTCCATTTTATACACCTGTCAACAACGGGTGTGGCTGAAATAGCCGAATCCACAAATGTGTACTTCCTGTCCTATCACTGAAACCTGAAAAACTGTTCCACTTAGAGATATCCTTATATCCTTTCACTTAAACTGTCATTTCTTACATGAGTGTGTTCTCTCTGTTCTCTCTGCAGGACATCTACACATCATTCTGTAACCTGGACTCTAAAGGCACCTGTTACCGCTTTGAGGTATCTCTGTGTGGGCCGGCCATCGAGCTCCACAACTGCATGGCCAAGCTGCTGTCCCACCCCCTCCAGAGACCCTTCCAGAGCCATGCCTCCTACAGCCTGCTAGAGGGAGATGACCCCCAGGATGTAGAGGCCACCGTCTAACTGGAGGTGCCTGGTAGAGCGACAGACCCCAGGGGGAGGCCAGTGTTTAACTTGGGGGTCTCCAAAGTACCCTGGTCCTGGAGAGTTACAGGGTCTGCAGGCTTTTGTTCATTTGACACTGAATCAAGAGGTGTGTTAGTGCAGGGCTGGAGCAAAAGCCTGTTGAATCAGGTGTGTTAGTGCCCGGCGCCGGACTAAACGGCTGCACACACTGTAGCTCTCCAGGACCAAGGTTGGAGAACACTGCTCTAACTGGACAAGGAGATGGGTTGCTAGGAGATGACAATGGGGAAATGAGGAAGCATGAGTGTATGTATTCCATTTAGTTTTAAACCTGATCTGGGGACAGTGTTTTCCCTACAAGTCTTAAAGAGTGAAATCCATGGCAGTACTTCTAGGCCTACACAATAGATGTGACCCATTTCCATGGCTGGCTTGTGGAAAACGTACATTGAAATGACTAAATATAGCTATATACACTATCAGGAGCAAGGTTGTTGTAATGGGTTGTCTGGGTTTGGGAAGGGTTGTAAACTATGATTCATTTTCTTTTCTTTACATCCGTACACCCTCTGATGGGTAAGTTTGCCTTATCAGATCAGCCGTTTATATTCCCACTGATGTTGCCTGTTGTTTTGTCAATTGTGTTTTCGTTGATCTGTTTCTGATGATTAAAAGATAAATGTTAGGTTTAGTCTACATGCATTATGTGACGCGTTCCAGACCCGGTATGTCTTTTCACCACTAGGTGGTAGTATATGTCCTTTAGAAAGTTTGGTCAAGCAATGGTTGACAACTCCTGTCCTCGAGGGGCCACACAGTCTCTTTTTAATGTTTCACTGGTAATATACTGCTTTGTAGGGGTATCTGTTGAGATTAGAGACCAATGTATAATTTGGTCTGACATATTGAGACATGGAATCCGGGACTAAAACTAACTTTTTTTGTATACCAGCCACGGGCAGGTAGATTTAAATAAAATCTGTTTTTAGATTTAAAAAACCTAGTTTTTAAAAAAATCTACCTGCCACTCAGATTTTTTTATCAGCCAAAATATTTGTTTACACCATAATTACACAAAAAAACGGATGAGCACGCCTAGCAATGTTTCTAAAACAAGAAATGTATTACTAGTAAGAAGTAATGTGGTATACTGCTCGATTTAATTTAATATTCTGTGATCTGAGTCTTTTAACCAAAATATCACAGACAACATTTTTCTGCTGACACTTTAACCAGCAGCATACCACCCTGCATCCCACTGCTGCCTTGCCTCTGAAGCTAAGCAGGGTTGGTCCCTGGATGGGAGACCAGATGCTGCTGGAAGTGGTGATGGAGGGCCAATAGGAGACACTCTTTCTTTCCTCTGGTCTAAAAATAAATATCCCAATGCCCCAGGGCAGTGATTTGGGACATTGCCCTGTGTAAGGGTGCCGTCTTTCAGATGAGACGTTAAACAGGTGTCCTGACTGTCTGTGGTCACTAAAGATCCCGTTGCACGTATCGCAAGAGTAGGGGATGTTAACCGCGGTGTCCTGGCTAAATTCCCAAATCTGGCCCTCTTACCACCATGGCCACCTGATCATCCCCAGCTTCCAATTGGCTCAGTCATCCCCTGTAGTTATTCCCCAGGTTGTTGCTGTACATGAGAATGTGTTGTCAGTCAACTTACCTGGTTAAATACAAAATGTAGGTTACCTTGGTAATAGGGCCACTGGAGTCTCTTTTTGCTATTAGTGGAAGCAAACTCAAACATTGAAAAGCAACCTAGCTTGTAAAAAAACATTGTAAATAGCCAAGAAACACGAGAACAAAGTCTCACTTTGAGTAAATTAGGCCAGCTTTTATACACATCGCTTCTAAAAACAAATATTTCAGCACTTCTCTCACAGTGCTCACAGCAGCCCCCCAGAAACATAAATTCTCTTCAATCATCTTGAAAAAACGTACACTGGAAATCAAGCAATGTTGAAAGTGCGTGGGCGACAGAGAGAAACACAACTGGGCAGTTTGAGGCCATTTGGCAGAGAGATGCAGGCGCTGGTGATGGGGGTGTGAGCAGGTGGGTCTGGGCAGGTGTGATGTTGTGGATGATGGTGTGCGTCTGTATGTTGTAATTTGTATGTGTATGTTTTCTATTGTAAAAAAAAATATTTTAAAAATAGTACAAACAAATATTACGAAACAGAAATTCCAGTAACTTCTGATTAATTATAGAAAATGACAATTTGTATTAAATGCCAGATATCATGCTGAACCACCAAAATGCCAAATTCCGGATCACATTCCTTCTCCAAAGGAATGAACAATGTGATCCACACATGCAGATGCTATTTCCTGTGCCCCAGGCAGCACACAGACACAGGATCAGCTACGATAGAGGAGTCAACATTACAACAATGGGGAACTGTCCTCCTCTCAGGGATCACAGAATAACAACTATTCCCCACAGTGCTGCACGGGCCACGGCCACAGTTGTTTGTGGTGACGAGGTCTGACTGTGAGAAGCCTGGGCTGGTGTCTAGGAGGGGTGAGACAGGAAGAATACAGAGCCTGGCCTGGTGTCTGGGAGGGGTGAGACAGGAAGAATACAGAGCCTGGGCTGGTGTCTGGGAGGGGTGAGACAGGAAGAATACAGAGCCTGGGCTGGTGTCTGGGAGGGGTGAGACAGGAAGAATACAGAGCCTGGGCTGGTGTCTGGGAGGGGTGAGACAGGAAGAATACAGAGCCTGGGCTGGTGTCTGGGAGGGGTGAGACAGGAAGAATACAGAGCCTGGGCTGGTGTCTGGGACGGGTGAGACAGGAAGAATACAGAGCCTGGGCTGGTGTCTGGGAGGGGTGAGACAGGAAGAATACAGAGCCTGGGCTGGTGTCTGGGAGGGGTGAGACAGGAAGAATACAGAGCCTGGGCTGGTGTCTAGGAGGGGTGAGACAGGAAGAATACAGAGCCTGGGCTGGTGTCTGGGAGGGGTGAGACAGGAAGAATACAGAGCCTGGGCTGGTGTCTGGGAGGGGTGAGACAGGAAGAATACAGAGCCTGGGCTGGTGTCTAGGAGGGGTGAGACAGGAAGAATACAGAGCCTGGGCTGGTGTCTAGGAGGGGTGAGACAGAAGAATACAGAGCCTGTGCTGGTGTCTGGGACACAACGTATCTCCCAAGATGATATCTCAACCTCCTTTTGTTATCATTATTTTTTGTAATACTTTTTATTTTCAAATTAAATGACTGATATCTCAGCTCCTGTTGGAGTTGATCTTAGAATAATATGGGTTCACGTTATAAAACAGTAACATACCAAGATAGATGGATCAGTCGTTCAGTCATGACCCATCTGTAAATAACTCATGACATTACTGTATGGATTTGCTATGTCTATGTACATTGTTGTTTTACGTCAATGTATTTGATATGTTATTCTGTGACGATAGTCTCTGACAGCAGGGCTGAGCAGTGCTAACAATGTGAAAGTGATGTCAGCCCAGACGTCCCTGCTGACCGCAGGGCAGGGTGAAGTTATGATAACCTCTGGAGCGGTGCGCGGGCTGAGCCGGGCTGCCCAGGGGCCAGGGGAGGGCCAGGAAGGAGTCACAGCGTAGGAAGTGTGCCTCAGCGTTTATAAACATGGCCCTCAGGTTCACCCTTTACATCCATAAAGGACAGCTCCAGTGGTATTCAGTGGTTAGTGGTATAGACAGTTTACTGAGAAAGAGTATTTGACTCTGGTTAGTTTTCAACTTTAGTAACTTTTATGTTTAGTAACCTTAGAGTTAACTCATTTTGAGGCTTCAGCACTTTTTGAGAGAGCGCCAAGAGAGCTCTTTCCCCTGAGAAACCAACGAGACCTCCATTTACTTTTCAATACCCTCGTCTTGACCACACCAACATCCAGCAAAGATGTACAGCAGCAACAGCTACTCGCAGGCCAAGTTTGGCCTGGAGGCCAAGGACGCCCACAAGCCAAAGGGAAAGAGCTGCGGCTACTACATGAGGCTCGTCTTCTTCTTCTCCTCTCTGATCCAGTCCCTCATCATCGTCAGCCTGGTGCTCTTCCTGGTCTACGGCCAGCCAGAGAAGTCTGCTGAAGAGAGGAGGGTGGAGGAGCTGGAGCAGAGTTTGAACAGGATCAGCGAGAACAACATTAACCTGAGGAAGGATAAAGCTGACCTGGGAGCTGCGCTGGGGGCCAGGACGGCTGAGAAGACTGCCCTGGAGGGAGAGGTGGCCGCACTGAAGAAAGCAGCTAATGCCTCAGGGGAGCAGATCAAAGCCCTCATACTGAAAGCGGTGAGGAGATGGGACTGTAACATTATGATGCAATATGAATTGATACTGGCTAATTTTTTGTTATTCTTTTTAAAAATATTCATTTAGATATTGTGAGCTGACGTACATTACTAGAAGCATATAGTGTGCAGGAATTATTTTGGCATTAGATCTGAGAAATTATGAATATACAGAGAAAATTATACATTTATGAATTATTTGTTAAACTGGTTCTGCTGCAAATTTTTTATCAGGTCTCTCTTGTAAAATGATTAATGTTTTTATCTCAGTGGTAAGCACTTACATGACTATAATGCAAGGATATCTGCACACTAACTTTGCTTCCAAAAAGTGACGGTTTATTTCAATTAGAGGAGCATAGCTAATATTTATGAAGACAAAACCTGACACTTTCTTTAATCTGTTCTTTCCTCCACAGAGCCATTGTGAAACAGAAAGGAAGAAATTAGAGATGTTCTGTGGTACCCCTGTCCGGTGTCCCACCATCCCCACAACTCCTAACAGTACGTTACTATTTGCCCTTTGTCACTCAGGGTTAGGTGTAGCGTTCCATTCTAATACTGTGATGGAGACCTGCCACAGTGACACAGTACATTGACCCAACAGTTCAATGTAATAACAACAAGTAACAACAATTTCTGATGTAATATATTTTCTCCTCAGCTGAGGTAAAAACCCTCCAGTTTCTGAACTCCCAGCAGGCAGCGATGATCAAACTGATCGAAGCCAACTTCACCCAGACCAACCAGTATATCCGCATGGAGAGGGACAATGCCATCAAGGACCGCGATGCCCACAACCTTGAGACCATCTCTTTGCGGAGGGAGAACACCAACCTGAAGGAACAGCTGAACCTCTACACCCAGAAGTGTAAAGAGGACTTTGCCAAGTCTCTGGAGGGGATCCAGACGGTGACCAGTAACTTCCTGGTGCGCATCGACAACCTGTTCCCCCACTCCATGACCTTTCACCTGACCTGTGAGAAGCAGACAGAGCAAATGGAGAACATCAGGGCCAGATGCTCCAACCTGTCTAAAGAGGTTGAGAACAAGTTCCAGACATACCTGGACAACGTGGGGAACAAGGTATGTGGAGTACACCAGACCTGGGTCAAATATATATGTCACATACTTTGAAAGTATTGGAGGTGTGTTAAATTTAGCTTGGAGTTTACAGGTTAGCCAGGTGTCCCAGTCTGTTTCTGCTTTACCCAACCTCTTGGCGTAACGGTTAAGGTGTTGGTTGACAGTCGCTGGACCCGGGTTCAAGTCCCGGTTGGGGATACCCCCCGAATTCGCTACAATATGTTATCCTCTTCATCCAGGTGGCAAACATCCAGACCCAGTCCAGTCGCCTGGAGGTCCAGAACAGCCAACTGACCCTTGACCTCCAGCAGTGTCGTCACAACCGCAGCGTGACGGCGGCGGAGGGCAGCAGGCTGCTGCTGGAGACCCGGGAGAACCACGACAGGCAGGTGGAGACCCTGCTGAAGGAGCAGAACCGACTGAGGGAGGAGAAGAGCTTGCAGGGAGAGAGACTGGCTCTGAGGGAGGCTGAAGTCAACACACTCAAAGGGAATGTCCAGTCACTCACTGCCAACTGTAACGCTAAGGTAAGAGAGCAAGGGAATAATAATTGTGCACATTATCATAACTTTAGATAGCAAGCAGATCCAGCCAAAGAAGCTTGTTATCAGTGGGACCCTATGGTATGAGTGAACTACATTACCAGCACACTACAACCCTACATTAGCAGTTGAGCAATGTAACCCAAGGAAACACTGTGTCCCTACCATCCTCTGGAATGTGATTTGTGGCCATCGATAATGTTGTCCTGGTGCATAGCTAGGAGAAAGACTGTCAGCATAATAGTGGTGGTGGGGGGGCACAGGAAGAGACAGACAGACTAGATAAAGGAGGGACAGGCGGACAATAACAACCACACGTCAGGAGGAGGAAGCACAGTTTGACAAATGGTTTGTTGGTAGCTACAGGCTACGGGGGTCTCATACCGATTAAGAACTTCACTGTTTCAAGTGTGTGTCAGTGCGCTTTTTGAATTTTGCTATGTCACAAGTAATGTGACGAGTGCATAAAGCATTGGGGATCAGGAGGATCTGCAGTGTAAATTTGTTGGCTGGTAAAACTCATAAAGCGTTGGGGATCAGGAGGATCTGCAGTGTAAATTTGTTGGCTGGTAAAACTCATAAAGCGTTGGGGATCAGGAGGATCTGCAGTGTAAATTTGTTGACTGGTAAAACTCATAAAGCGTTGGGGATCAGGAGGATCTGCAGTGTACATTTGTTGACTGGTAAAACTCATAAAGCGTTGGGGATCTGCAGTGTAAATTTGTTGACTGGTAAAACTCATAAAGCGTTGGGGATCAGGAGGATCTGCAGTGTAAATTTGTTGGCTGGTAAAACTCAGTCCGTTTGTGATGTTTTGTCTGTAATGCAGCTCGCCGGCCCAAAGCCTGCTGGACTGATGTCATCCTTGAAGGGGGGACCATCTATTGGAGCGCCAGTGATCAGTAAACCCCCCATGGTACAGACACACGACTGACTCTCATAGTCACTGGTGTTACACTCACTGTCAACTGCAGAAATAAAGCTTGAATAAATAAAAATAACTCCATTACACGATCAAAAGATCAGTTTGAGATGACATTGATAAACTGAAAGTGTTGATCTCCTAATGCTAGATGTTGTAATGATAAACCCAGTAAAAAAAAATCATCAGACACCACATCGTAATCATTTTACTGATGCGGCTATGTTTGTTCCTTCTGGTGAGGTGAGGAAGATGGCCTACCTGGGCCATGACAGAGTGAGAAAATGAAGGGACTTACTGATATGGTCCCTGGAGGATTGGGTGTGGTGCCTTTCAATGATCAACGTGTGCTCTTAGACTTTAGAATATCCATGTGTAAATACTACAGACACTATATGTTCTATCTACTGTCCTACATGATGTATACTGAACAAAAATATAAATGCAACATGTGATGTGTTGGTGCCATTTTTCATGAGCTGAAATAAAAGATCTCCGAAATTTTCCATACGCACCAAAACGTTTTTCTCTCAAATGTTGTGCACAAATTTGTTTACATCCCTGTTAGTGAGCATTTCTCCTTTGCCAAGATAATCCATAGACCTGACAGGTGTGGCATATCAAGAAACTGATTAAACAACATGATAATTACACAGGTGTACCTTGTGCTGCGGACAATAAAAGGCCACTCTAAAATGTGCAGTTTTGTCACACAACACAATCCCACAGATGTCTCAAGTTTTGAGGGAGTGTGCAATTGGCATGCTGACTGCAGGAATGTCCACCAGAGTTGTTGCCAGAGAATTGAATGTTCATTTCTCTACCTTAGAGAATTTGGCAGTACATCCAACCGGCCTCACAACCGCAGACCACGTGTAACCATGCCAGCCCAGGACCTCCACATCCGGCTTCTTCACGGGATCGTCTGAGGCAGGGGGAGGGGGACTGCTGAGGAGTTTTCTGTCTGTAAAAAGCCCTTTGTGGGGAAAAACTCATTCTGGTTGGCTGAGCCTGGCTCCCCAGTGGGTGGGCCTATGCCCTCCCAGGCCCAACCATGGCTGCGCCCTTGCCCAATCGTGAAATCTATAGATTAGGGCCTAATGAATATATTTAAATTGACTGATTTCCTTCTATGAAGTGTAACTCAGTAAAATCTTTGAAATTGTTGTGTTTTTGTTCAGTCTAAAAACTGTATCTACAAATGTACACTGAGAGTACAAAACAGTAAGGACACCTTTTCTTTCCATGACAGACTGACCAGGTGAATCCATGTGAAAGCTATGATTCCTTATTGATGTCACTTGTTAAATCCACTTCAATCCGTGTAGATGAAGGGGAGGAGACAGGTTACCTTCAACTCAATATTAGGACGGTGTCCTTAATGTTTTGTACACTCAGTACATATGCCTGTTAAAATTTCATTCATTTAATAATTAATTTAATACGGTTGACTTTATCCTTGTAATTCCACTTGCATTTGATTGCTGAGTTTAGGCTGGGAATTCACTGTCTACTGAAATTCACTCTACTGTGAAAAGCATTTTGTGTTCTCCTTCAACTTTATTCTCAGGTTAAAGAAAAATAAATGTATACAAATAAAGTTAATCCTAAAACGCAATTCAATGTTTATTAAATGTTTATTAAAGTGTGTTGATTTTAGATATTAACATCTTCCTTTGCTAATCGTTTTTTCTAATTTATGATATCAAATAAATCTACTAAAGTCTGTTGGATTTTAGAAAATAAAAGTTTGAATTTGCAGTTCTTCAAAAATGTTCTTCCTCTTTGAATGTGAGCGATCTTTGTTATAAAAGTGTAATACCCACCACCAGTTTAAGAACCGCAGCAATTTCCACTAACGTTGTGTCCTTTGTGAAAGACATATTATTATGATGTTAAAAATTTTTGCAATTTTATTTATTGAGTTTTTCAAAGAATAGTGGAAGAATTTGAGAGAAAATAATGCCTATAGCATTGCTATTCAATATGAAGTCTGTTAATAGCTCCACGTGGGGAAACTGTTAACACTGCCACACCTAGTATGACAGAGGTGAAATCCCATGATGGCTATGTCCAAACTCACATTTATAAATATATCCATAATTTATATATATATCCATACATCATTTATATACATCCTGGTCTGGGGTGTCTATATATCCATACATAAATACATCCTCACTGTATGTTTCTGAATAATACAAGTTCTAAATATGTTTTATGAGTAGTGCAATAAGACCCTTATGGCAACATTAGTTCTAAGTGGTTTTAATGGCTTTCTCCATTCTGATGGTTTTATACTCAACCAGACTAGGACAAAGCTGACAGTGAACTAGTCCAATTTGTATAACTTTTCATTTATTTATCACTGTATGAAAACATACCGGTATGTAGAGCTATACCGTAAAATATGATATATTGCTCAGCCCTGTTTCACACCCAACTTTTTCCACCCAAATTCCAAACAGAATTTGGTTTGAGGTGACCTTTAGAAGGTCGTGGTCATGTGAATCTATAGACTAATAACATACAGCGAGTCTTGGAGGAGAATGACAGTTCAACTGAAGGTGCTTGTTTACGATGATACATCTTGGTTGGACTGAGTGGTACTGACTGATGGTAGCCTTTTTCTGCCTGCGTCTGTTCATCATGGATGACAGAACTACAGGTGAAGGAGCCTCTACTGTTCTCAGGAAATCCTTTGTTTAAGGACTGTTTTTTTAGCCTTGTGTGGTCGGTTAAACACACACACACACTGTCTTACCCTGAGTCAAACAGGGGGAGTGGGCACACAGAGCAGCTCTGTGAATGTGAACCCCAATGCCCCCAATTACGCTCTGTCGCACACAGACGTAAAAACACCTCCGTCAGAGGAAACACAATTACCACACAGGTTAAACTACACTCATCACTCAACCATGACATGTCCATGGGACAGACGCTCATATGTCTTTTGGTGTTTTGTCTTGTAATGTAGGTTATGTTGAAATTGTTCATTTAATAGCAAATATGTTTTGTTTTCTTTTGATCACTTTGTTGTCAAAGCACATGTTTTTCCTAGTAAACACCAAGCAGAATTCCAGGTGTTCTTCACCTAGGTAAAATTAGTTTTATATTGGATATTCGGTTTTCTCTCATCAATAGCTATTGACACACAAACACACAAAAATGTATAATAAAACCCATAATATTTCAGATTTCAAGCTTCAATAGCTTCCACTGCTTTTCTTTTAAATGTAAAAAATAAATTAAAATGTTTTCTTTAGTGTTCAATCTTCAATAGCTTTTACACAAAGCATGCATGCCATGACTATGAAAATATTCAGAATCAGGGTAGGATGGACAAAAATCCATGGCTTGAAAAAAAATATATTTTTCATAGTCATGGCATGCTTTGTGTAAGAGCTATTGAAGATTGAAAGCCCCCCCCCCCCCCCATAAAAATAAATAAATCAAAATGTCAACAAAAAAGAAGACATGGATTGAAGTCCATCCTCCCCCCCATTCAGAATATATTATTTTCATAGTCATGGAAGGCTTTGTGTAAGAGCTATTGAAGACTGAAATCCGAAATCTTATTATAAAAAATAAAAAAAGTGCATTTTTCTTTATCCACCCGATTCAGAATATACCATCTTCATAGCCATGGCATGCTTGGTACAATAGCTATTGATGACAGAAAACCGAATAGCCACTGACTATCCAATATAAAACTAATTTTACCTGGGTGTGTTCTTCCAGTTCTAACCAACTTATTAAAAATTGATTGCAATACTAACTGGTCATTTCTAATTTCTTATCAAACACTTATCAGGAACATTGTTTCTCAGAGGATCAGAGAATTCCAGGTACCAACAATCCCGTTTCCAAGGAAATGCAGGCAGCCCTTTCCAGGATTTTCAAGGTTAATGATAATAACATACCAACAGGTCCATTATCAAAATGTCGGCTCATTGCCACCCATACATGTAGACTTCCTTAATTCCAATAACTTATATTTTGTTCTGTTACTTGCTGTTCTCCATTGTGCTCTATTGATTCAGCTGGACCCAACAAATCCCCTGACTGCTGGAGAAAACATCAAACAAAGAGGCACTTCAATATAGAGGTCTGCTCGGGACTGGTTTATTCATCCCACTTACCGCCCGCCCCCACCTGCTACCTCAATAACTGGACCTGAACCCAACCGCAGTCCCGCAATATTATTTTAGGCGTATGTGACGGCCATGGTCCAGCTATTTTGTGCCCTATAGGCAATATCAAAATGCTCAAAAATAACCTAAGAAATAGGTTAAATTACCAGAGATTCTCATGGGGCCCATTATATTAGGCCATCTGTATTACTGGGTATATCAGCTAATAGGCTAGATGTAGTTTGTAGAGAGATGAGTTGGGAGAGACTTGCACTTTCTCTTGAGCAACGTTTTATAGCCTACCATTTAGGAGTGGGACAATTTTCAGACAGAGACAAATATAAATAATTATTTCTAGGCAATGTAGTAAACTATAGCCTAATCATATTTAGGAAGTACATTTCCTTGGAAAGGTTACTGCCCTGTGCTTCTCCCCCCAGCATAGGAAGCCTACTCTATTTCATTGAGACCCATACGCTGTGTACAAAACATTAAGGACACCTTCCTAATATTGAGTTGCACCCCCTCAGAACAGCCTCAATTCGTCAGGGCATGGACTCTACAAGGGTCGAAAGTGTTCCACTGGAATGCTGGCCCATGTTGACGCCAATGCTTCCCACAGTTGACTGGATGTCCTTTGGGTGGTGGACCATACTTGATACACACGGGAAACTGTTGAGCATGAAAAACCCAGCAGTGTTGCAGTTCTTGACACAAACCGGTGTGCCTGGCACCTACTACCATATCCTGTTCAAAGGCACTTAATATTTTGTCTTGCCCATTCAGCCTCTGAATGGCACACATACACAATCCATGTCTCAATTGTCTCAAGGCTTAAAAATCCTTCTTGAACCTGTCTCCTCCCCTTCATCTACACTGATTGAAGTGGATTTTAACAAATAAAATCAATGAGGGATCATAGCTTTCACCTGGTCAGTATATGTCATGGAAAGAGCAGGTGTTCATAATGTTTTGTCCACTCAGTGTATACTAGACACACTTGATCTCACACGCCCAACTAGGAGGGGAGAGGAAGGCTACTGAACGTGAAGCAGTGAATTCTGAGTGTGTGAATAATGTGACAAAGATGTGTTTTTAATACAACAGGTAGGACTAACGCATACAAAGCAGAAAGAGGACTGTTTCCAAATAATCTGCGACAACAAAAATACTTTCATCCCAAAGTTGTCTGATCTGACCGTCTGCTCGCAACCGCAGCATGAAAAATGGCAACCGCGCCACAATGATCTCTGTCGGGACCCGCAGCCCTCTACTTAAATCCAATACCCACAGTAAACTCTGCAATTGATTTGTGTGACTGCTGGGTCAACAACAGTTCCAGCTCCTACTTTTAGACAGTGTTCCTCTGGCATCCATTAATCAGTCTTGAGATGAAAGGATGTCAGCAGAGCAACAGAGTGGAGAAAAGGAGGGGGTGGAGGGAGGGAGGGGGGGGAGGGAGGGAGGGCGGGAGAGAGGGGGGGGGGAGGGGGGAGGGGGGGGGGGGAGGGAATGAGGGGGGTTGGAGGGAGGGCAGTGAGGGAGTGGAGTGTGAAGAGCTGTGCGAGAGGTGTGGGGTGAGGTGGAGGGAGTGGTAGGCTGTGACACACTTACTGACAGAGGACAATGTGACAGAGACAATGTGACAGAGAGACAATGTGACAGAGAGACAATGTGACAGAGAGCACTGTGACAGAGAGACAATGTGACAGAGAGACTGTGACAGAGACAATGTGACAGAGAAGTGACGCAATGTGACAGAGAGACAATGTGACAGAGAGACAATGTGACAGAGACAATGTGACAGAGAGACAATGTGACAGAGACAATGTGACAGAGACAATGTGACAGAGAGACAATGTGACAGAGAGACAATGTGACAGAGAGACAATGTGACAGAGACAATGTGACAGAGACAATGTGACAGAGAGACGGTGTGACAGAGAGACAATGTGACAGAGACACTGTGACAGAGAGACAATGTGACAGAGAGACAATGTGACAGAGAGACAATGTGACAGAGAGACAATGTGACAGAGAGACAATGTGACAGAGAGACAATGTGACAGAGAGACGTGTGTCCACGGCAGAGCAGGGGCTATGTGACAGAGAGACGGTGTGTCCACGGCCGAGCAGGGGCTATGTGACAGAGAGACGGTGTGTCCACGGCAGAGCAGGGTCATATGTCGTCAGAGACCTGGGTGAGAAGGAGTAAACTGGGGAAGAGGAGATCAGCGAGGAAACATAAATATTTAATCAAGGCCAGATTGACAGGGGAACAAAGGGCACAGAGATGATCGTCTACCAAACAGTTTCTTTCCCACAGAACACAGAGATGATCGCCTACCAAACCATTTCTTTCCCACAAAACACAGTGTGAGGATGCTCAAACAGTGACTCAGTAGAAAGTCACAGCTGATCTGCGAAGATGTTTCCACTTCTTCAGTCTGGCTATGGCTAGAGTTGAGATGCACCAGTTCAAATGATCAGGACACACAATTAAATGTACACTAGTTACATTTTGGTTTATTGCTAGAATAACTGCATTTGAAGTCTGTCGTGTTTCACACTGGTACATTATCTAGTGTGAGGGTGTCCTTTCTGCATTAGATGTATCCATGTTGAACCATTTATTTCCCTATGCAGAAGTCTCTGAATATGATGTCCAGGATCTCCTCGGCTCCGACCCGTCCTGTAATGCGTCCCAGGTGGGTGAGGGCAAGGCGGACCCCCTCTGCGGCCAGGGCCAGGTCCTGGTCTCTGTAGTGGTGGTACTGGTTCAGGGCCTGGACACCCTGCTGGAGGTGGGCTCTGTGACGGGCCTGGGTCAGACTGGGAGCTCCGCTCAGAGGGTCACCACACCTGGATGGGACAGTCGTGTTATAACTGATGTAGTGTGTGTAGGTGTTGCCAAAGGTTTCAGAAGAATGGGGTGTTTGATCTTCAGTCTGGGAGCTGCTATCAGCGTTACTTTTTTTGAAATACTCAGGATGTATCAAATTTAATCCGAGTTTATTCGTCATATCCACAGGATACAGCGGGGTGTAAACAACATTCTTACTGTAGGGTAGGCACAGGGCGGATAATGTTATGACAAGTCATGATATTATCAAAAGCTTAGGGACCAATCCTAACTTACTTGCGATATCAAAGTGTTACTCAAGTTAATTTAGAATGAATTACACAATTAATCTATCAATCAGAGTTAGGATTCCGCCCATGGTGAGTCCCTGACATATAGGAAAACCATTAAAAAAAACATCCTTAGAAACATTCAGTAACATTCACGCAGAACTGTACTCCATACTCACAGAGTCTTGACCCTGCTCTGCAGCACAGTGAGGAAATCCTCCAGCCCTGTACTGGTGTAGCAGGACAGAAAACATGCAGGAGGGAGACCCGGGCTCTCTCTCAGCTCTCCCTCTGTCCTTTCCCTCTGCTCCTCAGGTACCAGGTCACTCTTGTTGAGCACCAGCAGGACCCTGTTTGAGGCAGCCTCCGTGCCTGCCTCAGGGCTGGGAAGCACGGTGCTGAGGTGCTCCTGGAGGAAGGCTGGTGCTAGCTGAGGGTCTGGGGGTAGCTGGGTGGAGTCCACCACTACTAGGGTCAGATCAGCCTGCTCCACCCTGAAGGGAAAAAACACAATGAAATAAAATGTTATTTGTCACATTTTTCATAAACAACAGGTGTAGACTAACATGATGACTATCAATCAATCAATCAAATGTATTTATAAAGCCCTTTTTACATCAGCAGATGTCACAAAGTGGTATACAGAAACCCAGCCTAAAACCCCAAACAGCAAGCAATGCAGATGTAGAAGCACGGTGGCTAGGAAAAACTCCCTAGAAAGTCAGAAACCTAGGAAGAAACCTAGAGAGGAACCAGGCTCTGTGGGGTGACAAGTCCCCTTCTGGCTGTGCCGGGTGGAGATTATAACAGTACATGGCCATTAAGGACAGATTTTTCTCCAAGATGTTCAAACATTCATAGATGACCAGCAGGGTCAAATAATAATCACAGTGGTTGTAGAGGTTGCAACAGGTCAGTACATCAGGAGTAAATGTCACTCGGCTTTTCATAGCCGGACATTTAGAGGTTGAAATAGCAGGTGCGGTAGAGAGAGAGTTGAAAACAGCAGGTCTGGGACAAGGTAGCACGTCCGGTGAACAGGTCAGGGTTCCATAGCCGCAGGCAGAAGAGTTGAAACTGGAGCAGCAGCACGACCAGGTGGACTGGGGACAGCCAGGAGTCATCAGGCCAGGTAGTCCTGAGGCATGGTCCTAGGGTTCAGGTCCTCCGGGAGGGGAGGGAGAGAGGGAGAGAGAGAGAGAATTAGAGGGAGCATACTTAAATTCAAACAGGACACCGGATAAGACAGGCTGAGACGGGGGGGGGGGGCCCTGTCCGACGATACCCCCAGACAGGGCCAACCAGGCAGAATATAACCCCACCCACTTTGCCAAAGCACAGCCCCCACACCACCAGAGGGATATCAACAGACCACCAACCTACTACCCTGAGACAAGGCTGAGTTAGCTCACTAAGATCTCCTCCACTGCATGAGCCCGAGGAGGCGACAAACCGGACAGGAAGATCACGTCTGTGACTCAACCCACTCAAGTGACGCACCCCTCCTAGGGACGTCATGGAAGAGCACTAGTAAGCCAGTGACTCAGCCCCTGTAATAGGGTCAGAGGCAGAGAATCCCAGTGGAGAGATGGGAACCAGCCATGCAGAGACAGTAAGGGCGGTTTGTCGCTCCAGTGCCTTTCCATTAACCTTCGCACCCCTGGGCCAGACTACACTCAATCATAGGACCTACTGAAGAGATGAGTCTTCAGTAAAGACTTAAAGATTGAGACCGAGTCTGCGTCTCTCACATGGAAAGTCAGACCATTCCATAAAAATTGAGCTCTATAGGAGAAAGCCCTGCCTCCAGCTGTTTGCTTAGAAATTCTAGGGACAATAAGGAGGCCTGCATCTTGTGACCGTAGCATAGGAGTAGGTAACTACGGCAGGACCAAATCGGAGAGATAGGTAGGAGCAAGCCCATGTAATGCTTTGTAGGTTAGCAGTAAAACCTTAAAATCAGCCCTAGCCTTAACAGGAAGCCAGTGTAGCGAGGCTAGCACTGGAGTAATATGATCAAATGTTTTGGTTCTATTCAATATTCTAGCAGCCGTGTTCAGCACTAATTGAAGTTTATTTAGAGCGTTGCAGTAGTCTAATCTAGAAGTGACAAAAGCATGGATTAGCTTTTCTGCATCAGTTTCTGATTTTTGCAATGTTATGAAGATGGAAAAAAAGCTGTCCTTGAAATATTCTTGATATGTTCGTCAAAAGAGAATCAGGGTCCAGAATAACGCAGAGGTCCTTCATAGTTTTTTTGGAGATGACTGTACAACCATCAAGATTAATTGTCAGATCCAACAGAAGATCTCTTTGTTTCTTGGGACCTAGAACTAGCATCTCTGTTTTGTCCGTGTTTAAAAGTAAAAAGTGTTTCCGAACGACATCACCAAGAGGTAAAATATATAGTGAAAACAATAGTGGTCCTAAAACGGAACCTTGAGGAACACCGAAACGCACATTTGATTTGTCAGAGGACAAACCATCCACAGAGACAAACTGATATCTTTCCGACAGATAAGATCTAAACCAGGCAAGAACTTGTCCGTGTAGACCAATTAAGATTTCCAATCTCTCCAAAAGAATGTGGTGATCGATGGTGTCAAAAGCAGCACTAAGGTCTAGGAGCACGAGGACAGATGCAGAGCCATGGTCTGACACCATTAAAAGGTCATTTACCACCTTCACAAGTGCAGTCTCAGTGCTATGATGGGGTCTGAAAACCAGACTGAAGCGTTTCGTATACATTATTTGTCTTGAAGAAGGCAGTGAGTTGCTGCACAACAGCTTTTTCTAAAAATGTTGAGAGGAATGGGAGATTCGATATAGGCCGATAGTTTTTTTTACATTTTCTGGGTCAAGGTTTGGCTTTTTCAAGAGAGGCTTTATTACTGCCACTTTTAGTGAAGTTTGGTACACATCCAGTGGATAGGGAGCAATTTATTATGTTCAACATAGGAGGGCCAAGCACAGGAAGTAGCTCTTTCAGTAGTTTAGTCGGAATAGGGTGCAGTATACAGCTTGAAGGTTTAGAGGCCATGACTATTTTCATGAACGTGTCAAGAGATATAGGATTAAGAAACTTGAGTGTCTCCATTAATCCTAGGTCCTGGTAGTTTGGTGCAGACTCAGGACAGCTGAGCTTTGGAGAAATACGCAGATTCAAAGAGGATTCCGTAATTTGCTTTCTAATGATCATGATCTTTTCGACAAAGAAGTTCATGAATTCATCACTGCTGAAGTGAAAGGCATCCTCTCTTGAGGAATGCTGCTTTTTTAGTTAGCTTTGAGACAGTATCAAATATAATGTAGGATTGTTCTTATTCTCCTCAATTAAGGTTGGAATAATTGGATGATCGCGCAGCAGTGAGGGCTCATCGATATTGCACTGTACTTTCTTTCCAAGCTAGTAGGAAGACTTCCAGTTTGGTGGAGCGCCATTTCCGTTCCAATTTTCTGGAAGCTTGCTTCAGGGCTCAGGTATTTTCTGTATACCAGGGAGCTAGTTTCTTGTGACAAATGTTTTTTGTTTTTAGGGGTGCGACTATATCTAGGGTATTACGCAAGGTTAGATTTAGATCCTCAGTTAGGTTGTTAACTGATTTTTGTACTCCAACGTCCTTGGGTAGGTGGAGGGAGTCTGGAAGGGCATCTAGGAATCTTTGGGTTGTCCGAGAATTTATAGCATGGTTTTTGATTATCCTTGGTTGGGGTCTGAGCAGATTATTTGTTGCGATTGCAAACGTAATAAGATGGTGGTCCGATAGTCCAGGGTTATGAAGAAAAACATTTAGATCCACAATATTTATTCCACGGGACAAAACTAGATCCAGGGTATGACTGGGGCAATGAGTAGGTCCGGAGACATGTTGGACAAAACCCACTGAGTCGATGATGGCTCCGAAAGCCTTTTGGAGTGGGTCTGTGGACTTTTCCATGTGAATATTAAAGTCACCAAAAATTAGAATATTATCTGCCATGACTACAAGGTCCGATAGGAATTCAGGGAACTCAGTGAGGAATTCTGTATACGGCCCCAGAGGCCTGTAAACAGTAGCTATAAAAAGTGATTGAGTAGGCTGCATAGATTTCATGACTAGAAGCTCAAAAGATGAAAACGCAGTCATTTTTGGGGGGGTAAATTGACATTTGCTATAGTAAATGTTAGCAACATCTCCACCTTTGCGGGATGCGCGGGGGATATGGTCACTAGTGTAACCAGGAGGAGAGGCCTCATTTAACACAGTAAATTCATCAGGCTTAAGCCATGTATGTGCCTTACCTCCATAACTTGCTACATTTGCACACACTGTATATATATTTATTTCTGTTGTATTTTTGACTTTGTTTTGTTTTACCCCATATGTAACTCTGTGTTGTTGTTTTTATCGCACTGCTTTGCTTTATCTTGGCCAGGTCGCAGTTGTAAATGAGAACTTGTTCTCAACTGGTTTACCTGGTTAAATAAAGGTGAAATAAAAATAAAAAATGTATCAGTCAGGCCAATCACATCAAGATTATGATCAGTGATTAGTTCATTGACCAAAACTGCCTTGGAAGTGAGGGATCTAACATTAGGTAGCGCTATTTTGAGATATCACAGTCCCATTCAATAATGACAGGAATGGAGGAGGTCTTTATACCAGTGAGATTGCTAAAGCGAACACCGCCATGTTTTGTTTTGCACAACCAATATCGAGGCACAGACACGGTCTCAATGGGGATAGCTGAGTGGACTACACTGTGCTAGTGGCAGACTCCACTAAGTTGGCAGGCTGGCTAACAGCCTGCTGCCTGGCCTGCACCATTTTTTTACATTTTAGTAATTTAGCAGACGTTCTTATCCAGAGCGACTTCCAGTTAGTGAGTGCATAATTGTTTTTTTTCATACTGGCCCCCCGTGGGAATCAAACCCACAACCCTGGCGTTGCAAGCGCCATGCTCTACCAAATGAGCTACACGGTGCATGTCTATGTTGGTAGATAAGATGAGAGCACCCCTCCAGCTAGGACGGAGTCCGTCACTCCTCAGCAGGCCAGGCTTGGTCCTATTTGTGTGTGAGTCCAAGAAAGATGGCCAATTATCTACAAATTCTATCTTTTGGGAGGAGCAGAAAACAGTTTTCCACCAGCGATTGAGTTGTGAGACTCTGCTGTAGAGCTCATCACTCGCCCTAACTGGGAGGGGGCCAGAGACAATTACTCGATGCCGACACATCTTTCTAGCTAATTTACACCAGACCGGGCGCGCGTGCGTCCGCGTTCGCGGGCATATTGATTTTATACATCCACACCCAGACACGATCAGGACACGCAGGTTGAAATATCAAAACGAACTCTGAACCAACTATATTAATTTGGGGACAGGTCGAAAAGCATTAAACATGCATGGCAATTTAGCTAGCTAGCTTGCTGATGCTAGCTAATTTGTCCTGGAATATAAACATTGGGTTGTTATTTTACCTGAAATGCACAAGGTCCTCTACTCCGACAA